AAAGTGGGATTTATTTCTGGGATGCAAGATTGGTTCAATATTCGCAAATCAATTAACATGATACATCACATAAACAAAATGAATAATAAAAATCATATTCTTATATCGATAGATGCAGAATGAGCATTTAACAAAATCCAACATCCATTTATGATAAAAACTCTCAACAAAGTTGGAATAGAGGAAACACACCTCAACACAATAAAGGCCATATGACAAACCCACAGCTAACATCATACTTAACAATGAGAAGCTAAAAGCCTTTTCTTTAAGATCAGGAACAAGACAAAGATTCTACTTTCACCACTTTTATTTGATAGAGTATTAAAAGTCCTAGCCACAGCAATCAGACAAGAAAAAGAAATAAAGGGCATCCATATCAGGAAGAAAGAAATAAAACTGTCATTATTTACAGATGACATGATACTATATGCAGAGAACCCTAAAGATTTCACCAGAACTGATAAATAAATTCACTAAAGGAACAGGATACAAAATTAACATTCAGAAATCAGTTGCATTTCTATACACCGAAAAATAACTAATGGAAAAAGAAATTTTAAAAAAATCCTATTTTCAATTGCATCTAAAAGAATAATTACCTAGGAATATATTTAACCAAAGAGGTAAAAAAAAGACATTGAAGAAAAAATTTGAAGATACAAATAAATAAAAGGATATACCATGTTCATGGATAGAAAAAAATTAATATCATTAAAATGTCCATATAACCCAAAGCAATCTACAGATTCAATGCAATTCCTATCAAAATACCAATGGCATTTTTTTTCTAGAACTAGAACAAATATCCTAAAATTTATATGGAATCCCCAAAGACCCCAAATAGCCAAAGCAATCTTGAGAAAGAAGAACAAAGTTGGAAGTATCACACCACCTGATATCAAACTCTACTGCAAAGCAATAGTAATGAAAACAGCATAGTATACTGGTATAAAAACAGACACATGGCACTGGCATAAAAACAGCATGTATTGTTATAAAAAGAGAACAGAATAAAGAATCCAGAAATATTATCCAGAAATAATAGAATATTAACCCAGATTAATAGATGGTCAATTAATCTATGACAAAGGAGGCAAGAATATATAATGGGATAATGTCAATCTCTTCAATAGATGGTATTGGAAAAAACTGGACAGACACATGAAAAAGAATGAAACTGAATCACTTTCTTACACCAAAAACAAGAATAAACTCAAAATGGATTAAAGATTTAAATGTAAGACTTGAAATTATAAAAGTCCTAGAAAAAAACACAGGCAGCAAACTCTTGACATTGCTCTCAGTAACATTTTTTTTGGATACATCTCCTTGGTCAAGGAAAACAAATAAACAAAAATAAACAAATGGGACTTTTTTTTACTTTGCACAGCAAAGTAAACCATCAACAAAACAGAAAGACAAACTATTGGATGGGAGAAGATATTTGTCCAAGATACATCAGATAAGGGGTTAATACCAAAATATATAAGGAACTCGTGCAACTTAACACCAACACCAACAAAAATTTTTAACTAAAAATGGGCAGAGGCCCTGACCAGTTATTCAGTGGTTAGAGCATCAGCCCGCAGACCAATGAGTTGTGGGTTTGATTCTGGTCAAGGGCACGTACCTCAGTTGTGGTTCATCCCCGGCCCTGGTCAGGTGGCAACTAGTCGATGTGTCTCTCTCACATCGATGTTTCTCTCTCCCTCTCTCCCTCTCTCCCTCTCTCTCCCTCCCTCTCACCCTATCTGAAAATAAATGAAAAAATATCCTCAGGCGAGGATTAAAAATAATAATAAGGAGACAAGGGGTTGGCAGGATGGGTGAAATAGGAAAGGGATTTAGATGTGCAAATTGCTAGTTACAAAAACAGTCACAGAAATGTAAAATATAGTACAGGAAACATAGTCAATAATATTGTAATAATTATGTATGGTATCAGATGGGTATTAAACTATTGGAGTGATTACTGCAAATCAATATGTTGTACATCTGAAACTAATATCATAATGTATATCAAGCCCGGCCGGTGTGGCTCAGTGGTTGAGTGTTGACCCATGCACCAAGAGGTCATGGGTTCGATTCCTGGTCAGGGCACATGCCAACGTTGTGGGCCAAATCCCCAGTGCGGGGTATGTAGGAGGCAGCCAATCAATGCCAATAAATGTTCTCTCTCATTGTTCTTTCTTTTTTTTTTTTTATCCTCACCCGAGGACATTTTTCCATTCTTTGTACAGATAGAGTGGGAGGGAGAGAGAGAGAGGGAAACATCGATGTGAAAGAGACACATCAAGTGGCTGCCACCCGCACGACCAACCAGGGCCGGGGACAAACTGTAACCGAGGTACATGCCCTTAGTGGGAACCGAACCCGGGTCTCTCCGGACCGCAGGCGGACGCTCCAACCGCTGAGCCAAACCGGCCAGGGCTCTCTCATTGATCTTTCTATCTCTCTCTCCCTTTCCCTTCCTCTCTCTCTAAAATCAATAAAGAAACGGGGGAAAAAAATGTATATCAAGTGTAACTGATTTTTTAAAAATTCTTTTAAGAAGAAAAAGCAGGCAAATCCTTACAGCGAAGGGCAGCATTATGGCCCAAGAACTACTTCGTCTCTGGACAGAAGGCAAGCATATACATACGAAATGCCAAGAGATTTCTGAAAACACAATGTAATGCATTTGTTTCATTTTGTGGTAGGAGGAAAATTGCCCCTAACACTAAAAAATAAAAATAAAAACCATAATTAATATAACAACCTTGAGCCTGGACGGTGTGGCTCAGTGGTTGAGCGTTGACCCATGCACCAAGTGGTTGCCAGTTTGATTCCCAGTCAGGGCACATGCCCAGATTGTGGGCCAAATCCCCAGTGGGGGGCATGCAGAAGACGGCCAATCGATGTTCTCTCTCATCGATGTTTCTTTTTCTCTCTCCCTCTCCCTTCCTCTCTCTCTAAAAATCAATAAAGAAAAAAATATATAGCATCCTTGAGTAGGCTATATTAAATTTTATTAAATAAAACCCAAAAAGCATGAACAACAAAAGAAAAAAGTGATAGATAGGATTTCATCAAAATTAAAAACTTCTGCCCTTCAAAAGATACCACTATAGGGAAGAAGAAAAAAAGAAAGCAAAGGCAAGCCACAGACTGGGAAAAAATATTCACAATATATATGTTTAACAATGGGCTTGTATCCAGAATAAAGAAGTCTTATAATTCAATAATAAGACAAACAACCCATTAAAAACTGAGCAGAAGATTTGAATAGACATATCTAAAAAGAAGATATGCAAATAAACTCAAAAGAAGAAGACTAAAAGAATAAAGACTGACAATACCAAGTATTGGTGAGGACATGGAATAATTGGAACTCATGCATTGCTGGTGGGGATGTAAAATGGTAAAACCACTTTGGAAAACAGTTTGGCAGTTTCTTACAAAGTCAAACATATAATTACCATAAGACTCAGCAATCTCACTCCTGGAGATTTACCCAAGAGAAATGAAAACATAGTCATAGCAGCTTTATTCATGATAGGCACTAGAATGTCGATCAGTAGATAAATGAATAAACAAATTGTGATATATCCCCACAGTGGAACACTACTCAGCAATAAAAAGAAATTAAGTACTGATACATGCTTTAAAATGGATAAATATAAAAACAAATTATACTGACCAAAAGAAGCCAGATACCAAAGAGTACATACAATATGATTCCATTGATATGAAACCTTAGAAAATACAAGCAAATGCATTATACAAACAAATGACAAAAATCAGGTCAGTGGGGCTAGAGATGGGGGGACCTGAGTGCAAAGAGGCCCTAGGAAACTTTCAGGGGTAATGGAAATGTTCCATTGTGGTGGTGACTAAGTGTGTATAAAATTGTCAAAATTCATCAAAATGTACACTTAAAATGGGTGCCTATTATTGCATGAAATTATAAATCAATAAAACATTAGCTTTAAAAAGTTATTAGCCATGTATCAAATTATTGAAAAACTTAAAACATCCCAATTATTTTGTTTCACCAATATGAAAGTGACAGGACCATGATCATTATTATAACGAAAATCTACCAGGCAATTGTAATAAAATATAGAAATCTTGGATTTTATTTTCTTCCCTGATCCTCATTCCAGTACTGGTCAAATATTTAAAGACCTCCTGGGAGCACACCCGTGCCATTAGCTTCCCCTTCTCCTTCCCCCACAGGCACTTGTCTCCTAAACTCCAAGGGACCCCACCAGATTTGCAACCAAGGGAGCAATGGGCAGCAGCAGCTAGCTCATCCAAGGCTGACCCCCTAAACTTGTCTCCAAGGCCCCCTTTTCTCTGACTTCCCAGTGAGCCAAGGCAGCCCAGTCTAGGCTCTTCAGTTGCTTCTTCCATGCCCTTCCTTGTTTCGCTGTCCTAAGTGTGTTTTTGCTGCAGTCAATAAATTCTTGCTTGCTTTTCTACAAAGGAAGGAAGGAAGGAAGGAGGAAGGAAGGAAGGAAGGAAGGAAGGGAGGGAGGGAGGGAGGGAGGGAGGGAGGAAGGAAGGAAGGAAGGAAGGAAGGAAGGAAGGGTAACCATAATGTGCAAGTCACCTAAAGAAAATAGAGTTTAATAAGTTTATGAATGAAATAATTATTTGTTTAATTCCCAATTTGAAGCTGTATCTCTACAACTACAACAATGTATCTGGTAAGTACTTATTTAAAATACTTATTAAAAGTCGGGCACAGCAACTCCAAATTTTGGAGATTTTCCTAAACTGGTATTGATGATTCCCCTAATGCAGGATTGCATCATTCATTCATGTTGTGTGGTAACAGGCAGAGGTGAGATGAAACAAGTCAAAACTACACTAAACTAAATGGATGAAAAGAAAGCCTTGAAATCCCATGAAATATTTTCCCTTTCCCGATTACGAAAAATAAATGTAGACGAGGCAGACGAGTAAATCGGAAAGCTGGGTCCACCAACTGATGAACACATGCCAGGACTTACCCTGGTGCTGCTGCTCCTTCCTGGGCCGCCGCCGCCGCCTCCGCCGCCGCCTCCAGGACTCCCGCGGCCGTAACCTTCCGACTGCAGGGCCGAGGCTGGCTCTGAAGTTCAGTCGCGCAGTTCCAAGGGAGGGGACTGGTGCAGATCCGCAGAACCTTTCTTTAGCAAACAATCATTTGAAATCTGCTGGTAAGTGCGGTGGCTTCTGGTCTCTTTGCAAGTGCTTCATCTAAGCTGTAGGCTGCAGAGCCGGGCTGGGAAGAAGCCCTTGGCCCCGCCCCCGGGGAGGGGCTCCCTGAGCCCGCCCCTCCCCCCTCCCGCGGCTCAGCGCCTGGGACCTCGCTCGACCAGAGCTCACGGCGGACGCTTTGCCTCAAAGCCGGTGGCTGCACTACCTCCTCTTTGCAGAGAAGGAACGAAAGAGCATCCGACCTTCAGCTCTCCCCACCGTCACCGCCACTTTGATCAGGGTACGTGAGAGAAACGAGGTTCCTCTGCACTGAATGCAATTAACAAAAGCCTCTTAGGGGCCTTTTTTGACATTAAGCTCTTGTAGGAATGTAGGTCCCGAGAGAACGTTTAAAACCACTTTTATTCGCAACTAAAACACAGAAAACCATGAGTGACAAGGTGAGACTTTGCACCCTTTTTCTTTCTTTCTTTCTCTTTCTTTCCTTCCTTCTTTCCTCTTTTCTTTTTTCTTTTCTTTTCTTTTCTTTTCTTTTCTTTTCTTTTCTTTTCTTTCTATCTTGTTTTCTTCTAGGTGTCATTTGCCCAGTATTTACTTTTATATTGACTACAATAAGTAAAACTGTTTGCCCCCAAACATTTACCTTAGGGTACAACTGGCTGGAGCTGGGCAGTGAGGTCCCACCCTGAATACAACCGGAAACTTCAGATGCTGACAGTCAGCCCTGCAAGTTCCCTCCAAGATGGTCACTCAGGCAGAGGGATGCAATTGCTGCAGCAACACACTTGGTCACGGATTCCCTGCCCTTTGCTACAGAAGCCCTCAAAAACCATCGTTCTATTCAGAAACAAGAGGCCTGATGCTGTTTGGTTAGATGTGCCTTTTAAGTTCAATGTTCTCAGATTTCATTGGTAAGAAAATGGATGCAGGCTTGGGGCACACCCTGTTTAATTTCCCCCAGATCTGCCGGGGATGGTTCTGAGGAAGGATGCAGGGGAGGAATTTTGATGTTTTGAAATATGAGGTAAAAGTTAATATAATTAATGGGGGCCAGGCAAAATAAGGGAGTTTAAAATAATCTAGTCAAGAACCTGTTTATGTTTTGGGGTAAGTAATTTACAAACAAGTCTAATAAAGGAAACAAGATGTTAAACACCATATATTTGTATATACTGTAAGTATAAATGGTAATTGAGAATTTATTTAAAGGGGAAAAGAAACCCAAGTACAATAAATGCAAAAGAGTAAAAGAGTTCATTTCTACAATTATTTATGTTTCATAGATGTATAATATCAGATAGATTTTAAATAAAATATTTACACTGAATAAAATCTGTCAACTGCTCTTACTACCTATGCCAACCTCACATTCATACCTGTATTAACAGTTGTGGGCATGAGATGGCAGTGTTGTAGACACTGTTTAGCTAGAGCACATACAACATTAAAAAAAAAAGTCCCAAGAAAGCTAATGGGTGGTCACAGGTACATGTAAGAATCAGGAAGTAATCTTACCAGACAAGGCATAAAATATAAACAAGCCCTGGCTGGTTTGGCTCAGCGGTTAGAGCGTTGGCCCATGGACCAATGAGTTGTGGGTTTGATTCCGGCCAAGGGCACATACCTCGGTTGTGGTTCTTCCCTGGCTCTGGTCAGGGTGGTGTGGGAGGCAACTAGTCAATGTGTCCCTCTCACGTTGATGTTTCTCTCTCTCTTTCTTTCTCTCCCTCTCTTCCCCTCCCACTCTGAAGATAAATAGAAAAATATCCTCAGGTAAGGATTAAAAAATAATAAAAATAATAAATTATAATGTGCTTCATTGTTCTTCTGGAATAATGTTAAGTAGCAAATACGAACCAAATACAATACCATATAATGAAGTCATTATAAGAACATTAGCAAAATCTTTTGCAAAGCTTTAATCATAATTGGTTAGTAAAAAGTAATACAGGTAGCCCAGCCGGTGTGGTTCAGGGATTGAGTGTCAACCCATGTACCAAGAGGCTGCTGGTTTGATTCCTGGTCAGGGCACATGCGCAGGTTGTGGGCCCAATCCCCAGTGGGGGGCATGCAGGAGGTGGCCAATAGATGTTCTTTCCAATTGATGTTTCTATCTCTCTCTCCCTCTCCCTTCCTCTCTCTCTAAAAATAAATAAAGAAAAAAAAGTAAAAAAAGAAAAATAATACAGGTAATACTAGTGTTCCTGAAAGGTTTTCTATAGATCTCTTTTTTATAAGCTAACAAATTTTCTAATGATTAACTATGTTTTCTTTATTTTTTATTTATTTTAAGAGAGGAGGGGAGAGGGAGAGAGAGATAGAAACATCGATGAGAGGGAATATCGATTGGCCGCCTCCTGCATGCCCTCCACTGGGGATTGGGCCCACAGCCTGGGCATGTGCCCTGACTAAGAATTGAACCGGTGATCTCTTGGTCATGGGTTGACACTCAACCATTGAGCCACACCAGCCGGGCAAGCACTGTTTTTCTTTAAAAAGTAATTTAGTGCTACTAAAATAATCTTCTAAAATATAGTAGTAAATTAGAATAATTATTCTAGATAACAATGCTATTATATGACCCAGCAATTATACTTCAGGAATGCATTTGAAAGAAACTTGTGCCCTGGCCAGTTTGGCTCAGCGGTTAGAGCATCGGCCCATGGACCAGAAAGTCCCGGGTTCGGTTCCGGTAAGGACACGTACCTCCGTTGCAGTTCGTCCCCAGCCCCGGTTGGGGTTGTGTGGGTGGCAACCAGTCGATGTGTCTCTCTCACATGGATGTTTCTCTCTATCTCTTCCTCTGTCTCTCCCTCCCACTCTATCTGAAGATAAATGCAAAAATGTCCTCATGTGAGGATAAAAAAGAAAAAATAAACTTGTACATGAGTACCAGGAGACACATATAAGAATGTTCACAGTGCCCTGGCCGGTTTGGCCCAGCTATTAGAGCATCAGCCCATAGACCAAAGGGTCTAAGGTTGAATTCCTGGTCAAGGGCATGTACCTGGGTTGCAGGTTCAATCCCTGGCCCTGGTCAGGGTCTTGCAGAGACAACCAATCTATGTGTCTCTCTCACATCTCTCTCTCTCTCTCTCTCTCTCTCTCTCTCTCCCTTCTTTCCTTCCCTTTCCCATAAAAATCAATGGGAAAATATCTTCAAATGAGGATTAACAAAAAAAAGAAGAAGACTGTTCACAGCAATACTGTATACATATAAATAACTATTAACCATCAACCCAATAAATTCAATAAAAAGGAAAAAATAATAGTCATTGACCATAAACTTAGAGAATATCATTTAATATCATAAATGATAATTCACAATATAAAATCCATGATGGTAATTAGCCTCTGGGGCCAGGAAAGGAAATGAAACTGGGATGAGATTATATAGAGAGTTCTCTAATGGTATTGATAACATTCCTTTACTTAAGGGTAGTAGGTATTCAGATTTATTTTTTACCTACTATATGTATAAAAAATATATTTATATATATATATATAATTTGGGGGAGTAGTTAATCCTGGGGAGTAAAAAAAGTGAAGAAGTGGCCTTTCTACTTTATTTGGTTTCATACTGATTCAAATTAGTTTAAAAACACTTACTGCTGCCCAGCTGGTGTGACTCAGTGGTTGAGCGTTAACCCATGCACCAAAAGGTCACCGGTACATGCCCAGTTTGTGGGCCCAATATCCATTGGAGAGCATGCAGGAGGTGGCCAGATGATGCTCTCTCTCATCGATGTTTCTATGTCTCTCTCCTTCTCCCTTCCTCTCTCTCTAAAATCAATAAAGAAAAACAATTTTTTTCAAATACTTATTACTGCCCTGACTGGTTTGGCTCAGCAAGTGATGGCCCAAGGACCAAAGAGTTGCTGGTTCGATTCCGATCAAGGGCATATACCTTGGTTGCGATTCGATCCCTGGCCCTGGATAGAATCATGCAGGAGACAACCAATTGATGTCTCTCTCACATTGATCTTTCTCTCTCTCTCTCTCTCTCTCTCTCTCTCTCTCTCTCTCTCTCTCCCTCCCTCCTTCCCACTCTATCTCAAAATCAATGGAAAAATATCCTCTAATGAGGATTTTAAAAAGTCTTACTTTTGTCAAGATTCATAAATCAATGAAAATAAATGCCTCAGGGATGGAAGGGTAAGCAAAGTAGATGAAGGTAGCCAAAAGTACAGACTGCCAGTTATAAAATAAATAAGTTATGGGGATGTAACTATGGGTAAAACTCAGTTCTTTACTTCCTATGTAGGGAAGAACCCAATTCTTCTCTTCTGTGTCTTCTTTGTCACACAAAACACTTCTGGTTACCAAATGTGTATGGGGTTTTCCCCACATCAAACAATTCTCTGCTGCACCAGCTAGGTATCATATAATTTAACTCAATTCTGACACTATCTGCCTGCAGCATCATCAGACCCCACATGTTAAGGAAGGGTTCAGTCCCACAAGATTGTGTGTGTGTGTGTGCGCGCGCGCGCGCGCGCACACACACACACACACACACACACACACTTCACATACCAGTTGCAAGCCCAAGTTATCACCTGTGCTTCTGACCAACCAGCTATAGATCAGAGGTTCCAAACATCCCCTCCTTGGGTTCAATTAATTTGCTAGAGCAGCGAACAGAACTCAGGGAAACAATTACTTACATTTATTACAGGATATGATAAAGGATACAGATGAATGGCCAGATGTAAAGATACTTAGGGCAAGGTCTGGGAGGGTCCCAAGCACAGGAGTTTCTATCTCCGTGGATTTGGGGTATATAACCCTCCCAGTGTGAATGTGTTTACCAACCTGGGAGCTCTCCAAACCCTGTACTTTGGGGATTGTATGGAATCTTCACCATGTAGCATGATTTATTATTAACTCCATTTTCATCCCTTCTCAAGAGAATGGGGGGCAGAGCTGAAAATTCCAAGCTCTAATCATGGCTTG